TTTGAGTTGGAGTCTTACTCTGTCGCCCAGACTGGAGTGCAGTGGCTGCTCCCGGCCACCGCAGCCTCGACCTGCTGGGCTCCGGCGATCCTTCCGCCTCAGCCTTCCAAGTAGCTGGAACTACAGGTGGGCGCTACCACGCCCGGCTAATTTTTTGATTTATTATAGAGATGAGGTCTTGCCAAGTTGCCCAGGTGGGTCTCGAACCCGCGGGCTCAGGCAATCCACTCACCTCAGCCTCCCAAAGTGCTGGGATTACAGGCTGAGCCACCGAGCCTGGCTTGATATTTTAAATCATTGAGGAAAAATAATATATGGGAATAACTGGGTAGTTACTTGGAAACAAATTTTTGAATTCCTACCTCACACCTTACACCAAAGTGAATTTATAGAATAACGAGGATTTAAATGCAAAATACAAAACTGTGCACAAACTAGAAGAAAATAAAGAAAATTGTTTTCATAACAATTAACTGGGGAAGGATTTTCTTTTTTTTTTTTTCTTTTTTGTGTTAGAGTCTCACTCCATCACTCAAGCTGGAGTGCAGTGGTATGCTCGTGGCCACTGCAGCCTCTACCTGCTGGGCTCAGACGATCCTTCTGCCTCAGTCTTCCAAGTAGCTGGAACTACAGGTTTGCGCTACCACACCCGGCTAATTTGATTTATTGTAGAGACGAGGTCTCGCCAAGTTGCCCAGGCTGGTCTTGAACACCTAGGCTCAGGCAATCCTTTTGCCTCAGCCTCCCAAAGTGCTGGGATTACAGGCTTGAGCCACCGCACACGGTCTGCAAGTTTGTTTTGTTTGTTTGTTTGAGTTGGAGTCTCACTCCGTCGCCCTGACTGGAGCGCAGTGGCACGCTCCCGGTCACCGCAGCCTCGACCTGCTGGGCTCCGGCGATCCTTCCGCCTCAGCCTTCCAAGTAGCTGGAACTACAGGCGCGCACTACCACGCCTGGCTGATTTTTTATTTATTGTAGAGATGAAGTCATGCCAAGTTGCCCACGGGGGTGTCGAACCTGCGGGCTCAGGCAATCCACTCACCTCAGCCTCCCAAAGCATGGGATTAAAGGCTGAGCCACCGAACCCGGCTGGGGAAGGATTTTCTAAGTGATGTAGAAAATAGAGGCCACAAAGGAAACGACTGATAAATTAAAATACGTACAAAATTGGCCAGGCATGGTGGCCACTTCTGTAATCCCAGCACTTTGGGAGGCTGAGGTAGGAGGATTGTTTGAGTCCAGGAGTTCCAGACCAGCCTAAGCAACATAGAGAGGCCTTCATCTCTACAAAACAATAACAATAATAAATTAGCCAGGCATAGTGGTGCATGTCTGCAGTCCCAGCTACTCAGGAAACTCAGTTTCTCAGAAGGCTGATATGGGAAGATTGCTTGAACCCAGGAGTTTGAGGCTGCAGTGAGTCATGATTGTGCACTGCACTCCAGCCTGACTGACAGAATGAGACCATGTCTCAAAAAATAAAATTCGGGAAGGGTTCCTTATTTTTTTTTTTTAATTAATTAATTTAAAAAATACATCCAAGCCGGGTTCAGTGGCTCACTCCTGTAATCCCAGCACTTTGGGAGGTGGAGGGGAGAGGATTGCCTGAGAATCCACGGGTTTGAGACCAACCTGGTCAACTTGGTGAGACCTCGTCTCTACAATAAATCAAAAAATTAACTGTGTGTGGTGGCGCGCACCTGTTGTTCCAGCTACTTGGAAGGCTGAGGAGGAAAGACTGCCTGAATCCAGCAGGTTGAGGCTGTGGTGGCCATGAAAATGCCACTGCACTCCAGTCTGGGTGACAGAGACACGAACTCAAAAAATAAAAATAAAAACTCCAAAATAAAAATCTTTCCATTGAAATAAATAATAATACAAATACAATGCATATGTAGAAATAAAGGATTTAAAACTTTTATAAATAATGAGAAAAAGTTAAACAGAAAGACTAACTAAAAAGGGGAAATAATATGAACAGAGCATTCACCAAAACAGAATCCACCCCCCTAAAAAGACTAGGAAATAAGTGGCTCGACTTCATTCATGATAAGAATAAATGCAAAATGAAGTGCCTGTGGTTTTTACCGATATAGTTGGCAAGGATAAAAAGTTTTGGGGTTTTTTTTTTTTTTTTTTTAGAGTGGGAGTCTCACTCTGTCGCCCACACTGGAGTGCAGTGGCCGCTCCCGGCCACCGCAGGCTCAACCTGCTGGGCTCCGGAGATCCTGCCGCCTCAGCCTTCCAAGTAGCCGGAATTACAGGCATGCACTACCACGCCCGGCTGATTTTCTTATTTATGGTAGAGATGAGGTCTCGCTGCCCAGGCGGGTCTCGAAGCCACGGGCTCAGGCAATCCACTCACCTCAGCCCCCCAAAGGCGCGGGATTACAGGCTGAGCCACCGAGCCCGGCTGGGTTTTTTTTTTTTGAGTTGGAGTCTCACTCTCTCACCCAAACTGAAGGGCAGTGGCACGCTCCCGGCCACTACAGCGTCAACCTGCTGGGCTCAGGCAATCTTTCCACCTCAGCCTTCCAAGTAGCCGAACTACAGGCGCACACTACCACATTCAGCTAATTTTTTTATTTGTCTTGCCATGTTGCCCAGACTGATCTTGAATCCGCAGCCTCAGGCAATCCTCTCACCTCGGCCTCCCAAAGTGCTGGGATTATTCACTTGAGCCACTGTGCCCGACCAGATAAAAAGTTTGATCACAGCCGGGCTCAGTGGCTCAGCCTGTAATCCCGCGCCTTTGGGAGGCTGAGGTGAGTGGATTGCTTGAGCCCGCAGGTTCGAGACCCGCCTGGACAACTTGACGAAACCTCATCTCTACAATAAATAAAAAAATTAGCCGAGTGTGGTGGCTCATGCTTGTAGTTCCAGCTACTTGGTAGGCTGAGGCAGGATTGCCTGAGCCCAACAGGTCGAGGCTGCGGTGGCCTTGAGTGTTCCACTGCACTCCAGCCTGGGAGACAGAGTGAGACTCCAACTCAAAAAATAAAATAAAATATTGAGCTTAGTGAAAAAGCAAGGTGTAGAAGGGTTTAGCATCAGCTTATTGCATGAAACATTTATACATACAAATATGCTTTTGTATGCAGCGACCATCTCTGAAAGGCTACACAGGAAAAGGGTTAGGAATGAGAACCTGGAGGTGTGGGGGCAAGGAATGGGAACTGGAAAGCAAGGTGGAGGAGGTTTGATTTTCTTCCATTTCTTTCTTTTCTTTTCTTTTTGAGTCAGAGCCTCACTCTGTTGCCCAAGCTGGAGTGCAGTGGCTTGCTCACAGCTACCACAGCCTCTACTTACTGGGCTCAGGTACTCAGGTGATTCTTCTGTCAGCATTCCAAGTAGCTGAAATCACAGGTGTGTGCTACCATGCCCGGCTAATTATTTTATTTATTGTGAAGACAAGGTCTTGCCAAGTTGCCCAGTCTGACCTCAAACCCCTGGACTCAGGCAATCCTCTCCTCTCTGCCTCCCAAAGTGCTGGGATTACAGGCGTGAGCCACCACACCCGGTCGGAGACTTGATTTTCATGCCATGCTCTTCGTTTTTTGTTGTTGTTGCTGCTGTTGTTTTTTTGTTTTGTTTGAAGTTGGAGTCTCTGTCGCCCAGGCTGAAATGCAGTGGTATGCTCACGGCCACCACAGCCTCAACCTGCTGGGCTCAGGTGATCCTTCCACCTCAGTCTTCCAAGTAGCTGGAGCTACAGGCATGCGCCACCACACCCAGCTAATTTTTTGATTTATTGTAGAGATGAAGTCTTGCCAAATTGCCCAAGCTGGTCTCGAACCCGTGGGCTCAGGCAATCCTCTCACCTCGGCCTCCCAAAGTGCTGGGATTGTAGGCATGAGCCACCGTGCCTGGCCTTGGTATATTTTTAAGACTCATTGTCCCTGAATATCTATTTTTAACCAAGAAAGCAAACATAATCGTTTAATGTTTAGAATCAAGTCCAACTCATTTCCATGGTCAATTTCCAACCTCCTGTCACACACAACACGCCACTTTTTCTACATATAAACTGGCGGGTGGATGAAATTGACGGTTGACTGACTGCATGAATGTGAATGTGAACGTGAATGCTGTCTTCGCGTCTCCGGGTTTCCCAAATCCACCGCTAGGGGACGGCCTCGCCCCGGCCCTGATGTCAGTCACTTAAGGCGCGCACTCCCTTTGCGTCTCGGGCTCGCGCGCGTCGCCGCGGCACCGGAAGTGACTGGGCTTGCAAGTTCCCCCGGTCTCTTCAGGGGAAACTGAGGCCGGCTTGTTCGGAAGAGACGGCAAGAGCAGCCAGCCAGGTAGGCCGGCCTGGGTCCGCGGCGCGGAACTCGGCCGCGAAGAGCTCCCGCGTCTGGAAGCGACCGGGCCGATGAAGGGGGATGTGGCCCCCCACGGCTCGCGGGGCTCGCAGGTGAGAGCGCCGCCTCCCCTGTGCGTGACAGCCGCTGTGCCCAATGGGAGCTTTCGCCGTCGCGCTTCCGTGCCGACCGCGCCCGCTGATTGGCCGTGCTTGGGCGGGCCGCCGGGGGCGAGACCCCTCCTCCCATAAGGTCTAGGGGGCGCCCCAGAGGGAGGGCGGTCGCCTAGCAACGGGGCGGTGGCTCCGCGGGTACCCGGCCTAGCGAGCGTGAGAAGCCGCGAGGCCGCAGCCCGCCCACCCTGGGCTCCGGAGAGGCGCAGCCTCCGGCCCCTGAGCCCTCCCGGGGGCGCCGGGCAGCCGCCTTGGGCCTGCCCCAGGAAAGCGCGGTCTCGGCCGCGGGGGGCCTCGAGCGGGCGTCGCCCCTCTTCCTGGCCAAGGAGAGAGGCCCGGCGCCTCACCCTCACCCCGTCTTTGTGCAGGGCGCCGGCGGCCATTGTGTCCGGGCGGGGAATGGAGGACCCGGCGGTCCCCCCCCGCCACGTCCGGGGCCTTTGGGGGATTCAGAGAAAACCAGCGGCGCTCGTGGGGGGTCTCCGGCCTTCAGCCTCCCGGAAGGGCCCCGAGGTGGCCTTCCCGAAGTCCGATCGCAGACCCGAGGCGGTTTCCCTCTCCCTGCGCCCCTCGTCGGAACCCTGAACCCCGTCGAGAAGTCCCTTTGGGGTTTCGGAAGCCTCGCCCTGGGCTGGTACTTAAATTAAAAAAAAAAAAAAAACTAGCTCCACCAGCCGCCTCCGGGAGAGTTCTCCTGGCTCCCAGTAGGAGGCGGAGAGCCAAGGGGCGTGCAGAGCGAGGGGGCTGGGCTCCCGGTGGCAGGAGGCCGCGGCTGCGGAGCGGCCGCCCTCGATCCGGCGATGGAGGAGGAAGCGAGCGAGGGGGCCGGTTCCTGAGCTTCGCAATTCCCGTGTCGCCTTCTGGGCTCCCAGCCTGCCGGGTCGCATGATCCCTCCGGCCGCAGCTGTTTTCTCTGCCAGCCGCCGCGAAGCCGGCTGAGTTACCGGCGTCCCGGCCGCCGCCTCCTCTCCCGACCTAGGATACAAAAGATCTTCCGGGGGCTGCACCTGCCTGCCGTCGCCCGAGGCGGATTTGAATGTAGGTGGTGCGGGCAGTGGGGGGGATTGCCCAGGGGGGCGACTTTCCGAGGAAGGCATTTCGGAGAAGGGGGGTGGCTGGGGAGAAAGGCTGGTGGGAGATTCAGAGCTCACGGTGCTTTCCGTTTGACTTCATGAAAGTCTTCTTGGAACCTCGACCCAGACCTTCGCAAGAGCCACAAAGACACCAGTTGTGGTACCTAGAGGGGGCATGGGATGTTTAGGGTAAATGGCTTGCTTCTTTTTTTTTTTTTCTGAAGCTCTTTCTCTCCCTTCAGAATCTTATCTTGTCTTTGGATCTTAGAAGAGACTCACTAAGCAGAGGCCAGACTCAGTGAGTGAGCAGGTGTTTTGGACAATGGACTGGCTGAGCCCATCCCTATTATAAAAATGTCTCAGAGCAACCGGGAGCTGGTGGTTGACTTTCTCTCCTACAAGCTTTCCCAGAAAGGATACAGCTGGAGTCAGTTTAGCGATGTGGAAGAGAACAGGACTGAGGCCTCAGAAGGGACTGAGTCGGAGATGGAGACCCCCAGTGCCGTCAATGGCAACCCATCCTGGCACCTGGTGGACAGCCCCGCGGTGAATGGAGCCACTGGCCACAGCAGCAGTTTGGATGCCCGGGAGGTGATCCCCATGGCAGCTGTGAAGCAAGCGCTGAGGGAGGCAGGCGATGAGTTTGAACTGCGGTACCGGCGGGCATTCAGTGACCTGACGTCCCAGCTCCACATCACCCCAGGGACAGCGTATCAGAGTTTTGAACAGGTAGTGAACGAACTCTTCCGGGATGGGGTAAACTGGGGTCGCATCGTGGCCTTTTTCTCCTTCGGCGGGGCACTGTGTGTGGAGAGCGTAGACAAGGAGATGCAGGTATTGGTGAGTCGGATCGCAACTTGGATGGCCACTTACCTGAATGACCACCTAGAGCCTTGGATCCAGGACAACGGCGGCTGGGTAAGAACCAATCCCTTGTGGGTCCCTTTTCTTTGGCCTCTGGTCAGAGAGGTCCCCACTAGCCCTTCCCCTGAATCTCTTGTCTGTTGTGTGGGGTGACTGTTGGGGATGTTGATTGTTAAGGAGACCTGATCGCCTCATTTTGCCACAAGAGGTTAGCTGTTTGGAAATATAGATGACCCAGTGCTCAGATCAGGCATCTGTTGCTCGTCACTCTCATGACCCTACTCTGCCACACTTGTGTTCCAGGTTCCCCCGTAAAGAAAAACCCAGCTGTGTGTTCATTCAGCCGCAAACTTGTGCGAGTGGGAAGTTAGCTCAGTCTTCCCCTCACCCTGCCAGAAGGCTCACCCCACAGAAGGTGATAAATAATGCCTGGAGATGCGCCACTGCGACCCACAGGCCCCTCCGTTTTCCCCAGGGGTGTCAACCCTGCCCTGGCCTTTCCTCCCCCAAATCAAGGTCCCTTCATTTCGGAGCTTGCATGTATGGTACTCTCCTTGCAGACCAGGACATGACGAGGCAGGAGTCCCCGCTGGCTTGGATGGCTCAGGATTGTCAGATTTGGGGGCAGGGTGGTCTGTGTAGGTTGTGTTGATGCTGCGCCCCCTGAGTTCATCTCCTTCAAAGGGCAGCTTTCTGTGTGGTTGGCCTGTTTGTGAGCTCTTGCTGTGTCACGCATTAACCCCAGGACTTTGCACCTCACTGCCTAGAGTCGTTGGGGAGCTCCAGCTGCTTTGCCTGTTACTTTCCTGCCAAAGCCCCAGGGCCTCTTCACCCACTCAGTTTGCTGGCAAGGCAAAAACCCAGCCTGGGGCTCTGTGGAACATTGAGGCTTGGTAACAGACTTCGGAGGTGGGGTGTAAGGCCCAGCCCATCTCTTTACTAGCTGTGTGACCTTGGACAGGCCAGTGCACCTTTTTGAGCCTTTGTTTCTTTCACTAAAAAATGTGGTGCGCTCTGTTTGCCAGGCAGAGTGTTGTGAATCTTGGAGCTGATCTCCTGGGAGGGAGAGTCTCCTGTCCCCATCACTGAGCCTGGTGAGAGCATCTTTACCAGTGGTCACTGCAGGCAGTTTTCACTCTTCAGTGAATTCAATATTATTTCCTTGCTTATATCTCCCTTCCCAGGGAAGGATGGGGCTTATGAGAAGTATTCTGTCCCCCCAGAGTCTGCAGAAAATCGACAGGCTGTGGAAAATAAGTCATCTATTGAAGGAGCTGAGGTGGAAGGGGCCATGCATCATGGCCTCAGGAATGTCAAGAATGCAGTTGTTGGTAGGCTGGGCCTGGGGTGTGGCAGACACTTCACTTTACCATTGAGCTAGAGATCTCCGTAGTTTGCCCTGAAACCCACCCCTCTCTCAGTTCCCATTTCTTTGCATCTTTATCAACCCTTTCCCTCAGCCAGCTCTTATAAAAGACAAGGGGGGGTCCAGTCAATAGAGGTCAGATGACTAGATGGGGCTGGGGGGAATAAAGGAGGTGGGCTTTCTTGGGCTAAGGCTGACTAGGGAGCCTTGCTGTAAGTGAACTCCCTGGGGGGTAACTGATTAAACAGTTCCTGTTGGTTTGTGAATGACCGCTCCTATCCCTCCTGCTTTGATTCTCTTTGGGGGCAAATATTTGTTCAGCTGATTACAGGAAGGACAGGATTCCAGTGCTTTAGACACACCCTCCAAGGCATCTCCAAGTAGGGACTGGCCACTTGCCCACTTTGCTTGACTGTTGTCTTTGAGTAGTGGTCCTAAGATCAGGTGGGCTATTGCTAGCCATAAACAAAAGGCAGTCTGAGAGAGGTACCTGGTCTGCCAGCCAGCCTTTCCCGAGGGCCACCCTGACCCAGACTTGCCAGCTGCCCAGTGTTGTATGTGAAAGCAGTCGACACCCAGCAGCTCTGGGCAAGCTCGTTAGACCTCCACTGGACTGAAATTCCATCCTCCATCTCTTTGCTTAAGAATTATCTGAGCCAGTCGGACAACATACCACATGTCACTTCCTCTTGGTGAACAGAGGGATGTGTGTGGAAGAGCCAGTTGTGTCAGAGCCATTCCTGGGCGTGTATTCTCTCCCAAGGCTAGAGGGTAAAGAGCCTTTGACTTAGGATCCTCTGGTTCTGGGTAGAAGGTACCCACCCATTTCCCTGTCAGGTACCATTCTGTTCTGAGCTGCACAGACTGGTTGCTACAGTGGCATCTCATACCCTTCCTAGAGGGTGGGCTGGGAGATTCTTAAATGTAGGAGTTAGGGACTATTCTAAGAAGGCCTGTGTTCTAAATTTAGCTTCCCTCAGGAAGGGATAGAAACTAGCGAACCTCTTGAGTACTTTTAGGCTTTGTGTTAGTCCTTGTACAACCAATATTTATTGAGCATCTACTGTGAATGTGTGCTAGGTGCTAGCCATAAGCCGGGCATGGTTCCTTCCCTTATGGACATAGCATGCTGTTTCTTTTTTTCGTTTTTCTTTTTTTAGGTTGGAGTCTCTTTGTTGCCTAGGCTGGTGTACGGTAGCACGCTCACGACCCCTGCAGCCTTGATCTGCTGGGCTCAGGCGATCCTTCTACTTCAGCCTTCCAAGTAGCTGGGACTACAGGCGTACGCTACCACACCCAGCTAATTTTTTGATTTATTGTAGAGACAAGGTCTCGCTGTATTGCTCAGGCTGGTCTCGAACCCCTGAGCTCAAGCAGTCCTCTCACCTCGGCCTCCCAACGTGCTGGGATTATAGGCATTTTTTGTAGGCCACCGCACCCGGCCTACAACAAATTTTTAAAAATTAGCGGAGTGTGGTAGTGCACAGTAGTCCCAGTTACTTGGGAGACTCAGGTGGGAGGATCACTTTGAGCCCAGGAGTTTGGGGCTACAGTGAGATATGATCCCACTATTGCGCTCCAACCTGGGTGGCAGAGCGAGACTTTGCCTCTTAAAAGAAAAGAAGGAAATTCTTGCACTGGTAAAACTTGTTAATGTTTCATTGTTAAAATAATCTCAGGCCCTGCCAATATATGTCAGAAGTGTGAGTGTGGGGAGAAGGTGGCCTGCCCCAGGCTGCCCCAAGTATCTACTTAATTGTGGAGCAATGCGTCAAGGATTGGAATTCCAGACTCTTAGTCACATTACTGCCTGCCAGGAGTCACCGGAGGAAAAGCTGAGTCCATCTGCCTCTCCCACCTGTGAAATGGAGTAATGATAGCCAGCTACCAAAGCTTGACTCCGGTAAAAGATCTAGAGCCAAGCCCTTCCCCCACCCTAATTGCAGGGCGGAAGCACTTCCTTTAATGAATGGGCTTCTTCAACCACAGGGACTGACTTGGCTCCTGGAGTTGCTTCTTAAGAACAAAACTAATCCCTGAGATCCTTACCTGGGATGTTGTATATATGACCTTCCCCAAAATGACAGAAATGTTTCTGGGGCTTTCCAGTGGGAATGTGGATAAGGACCCAGATGGGCCTGGCCGCTTTGGGATTGCTGTCCCTAAAGAAACCCTTCAGCCTGATGGAAACATCATTGTTAAGGGCAATGGACAGTATGGGGGGTGCCATGGCTTGGCCTCTCCCAGGCTGGGTGGCTCTGTGGTCTTTCAGTTTGTGTGGATCTTTTCTTCCTATTCTGGCTTCTTCTGCTGGGTGTATGCTTAGTAGAAGCACCTCAGCTCCCTTTGCAGATGGTGGCAGTTCTGTGGTTTTCTTGGGGAAACCCCATTAGAAACCCCAAATGTGGAAATTTTAGTCATCCCATTCAGGTCTCCCAGAACGAGGTAGAAGTGTCTGAGGGGCTGCCCCTTGGAATGCCTACTTCTTCTGGGTGTACATTTGAGGTTGCTCTTAAAACTGTGTTACCATCACAGGGCTTTCCTGACTTCCTGGGAATAATTTCCCTGGTAGTTCCATGGAGCCCTTTAGCTTCTGGTTGAAAATTACCCAGGTATTTTTCATGGAGCCCCAGTGGGACACGGAAGGTTTTCTTGACATTTGTATAGGTGGTCATTCGATTTGTTTGGGCTGCGTGAAGCAGCAGTTGTTATGTGTCTCTTTCCTCAGCAGACATCGGTCCTGAGGCCAGTGGGCTTGCATGTCCTTCTCTGTGCCCAACCCTTATCTGTGCCCAACTCGACCTTTCTAGTTTTTCCAGCACCATCAATCTGAGACTTTCTTTTAGCAGTTGTGGTTTTGTCCAGGTTTAGCGTGGATAGATACTGGAATAATTCCCAGTGCACTGCTCTTACACAGAAACATAATCTGCCACCTTAATTAAGTAGGGCCCCACCCCCACCGCCAACCTAATTCCACAGAGTCCTCCCTAAGAACTCTTTTTTTTTTCTTTAGTAGAGACAGGGTCTCACTATGTTGCCCAGGCTGGTCTTGAACTCCTGACCTCAAACGATCCTCCCCCCTTCAGCTTCCCAAAGTGCTGGGATTTTAGGCCTGAACCACCATACCTGGCCCCTCTTCTTTGAAGAGTCACTCGGTTCCTGGATCATCTTCTTTTGTCCCTTTGCCCGACAGTCTGTCTTCCCTGTTCCCAGCTGGCAGACTTGAGTTAGACAATCCCCCTGGTTCTTTTTGTTTAGCCTGGGGAAGAGAAGACCCAGGAGAATATGATCACCAGCTTCAGATATGTAAAGGAAGAAGGATTGAGCCTCTTTTATTGCTATGGTACCTGGCAAAATGAAAAGGAGTTAGCAGTTGGTAGAGTTTAAATTGCTGCAGAGAAGACGTTTCTAAGAGATTGACTCTCTCCCGGGTTTAGGAGCTCCCAGGGTGGAGTCCATGTCTTCTCCATGCTTGTTTCCCAGCACTGAGCACAGGTCCTGGGCAGAGCAGATTCCTAATGAAGGAGATACCCATTAAATTTCTGAAGAAACAGGCCCTTACCAGGCCAGAGTAACAATAATAAGAGTGACTCTTTACCCATTTATTCGTTGATTCAAACAATATTTACTGAGCTCCTCCTGTGTGTCAGGCTGTCCTAGGTACTGGAAGTACAGCAGTAAACAATAC